GCTAGAGATCATGAGATGGAGGGCACTAAACCTGACAAATCTTCTCAGTCTTTTTTCCTTCCGCCATAAGAATATGAAGTTTTAAATGTATGCAGCTGAAAGCAGACGAAATTATGGCTCTCAGACACTTTATAATTCTGAAACAGAGATGTGATTGATTGCAAGGTGGCGTAGCTGCTGGCAGTTTTTGTCTGCACATTTTGATGATACAAGTTTCTTAGGTGAACTTCAAGTATATCAGTGACACATACTATGTTTCAGACACTTTGAATGATTTCAAAGCTAATAATTTATGAGAGCTTTTGGAGCAAGTTATTAGGTTAGTCTCTGGAGAGATTTATTTTTTTAATCCTCACTTCCTTGTCGTATGTTCTGTTTATCTCATCTCATTCTGTTAGTAAACAAATATGTAAAACTTTAATGCAGATGTGTCTGCTTTATAATTGTGCCTCATCAGCTTAGCAAGGGTTTCCATTTGAAACACTTGTATTAGTGAATGCTTGACAGACTAAAATCTAGAGAGAAGTAGAGAAGAGTTCAAATGAAGAGCCTCAAAAATGGTGAATTGAAATAACTAAAAGGGGGAGTATAAGGTCTTAGCAAGAGTAAGAAAACAGGTAACTCAGAATACTCTTAAGTCCCATCCTTACATGCATATAAATCAGAAATCTAAGAAAGTCCGCATGGCAGATTCATCTGTGTGCATTTCTTAGTCATATTGGTGGTTCAGAGCATCTCAGTGGGACACTATGCAGGAGGATTTCCAGATCACATAGATCTCTTGTACTATCCCTCCTTCACCGGCATTTCTCCACCTGACTTGGGAACACCAGCAACACCTATTCAAAACTTGTGTGAAAGGAGAAATGGGCCTTTTAAATTCCTACTGTGAGGATGCTGTGAAAGATGCACTGTGTGCATTTGGAAATGTAGAACCTCCATTAATTTTTAGAGATTTAATTTGATAATCAATATACTGCACAGATTGAATAAAGCAGGTATCAATCCATTAACAAAAGGAGTCCCATGTGCTGTATTTCAGGAGTTATGGAGCACTGCCATATGGTAACATTTTAAGATTAAGAACATTTGAAGTTATTGAAAATGAGAATGAGCCCTCTCCTAAATGAAACATGCTGGGTGCAAAATGGTATTGTGTAATCCATCATATTCACCTAACACTGTGCTCCTGTTCCAACATAAGTTTCTTGAGTTTCTTATATTTATGAGTCGAATGCTTAATTTGTGCCAAGACTTGCCAGGAATGAGCCCTGTTACCTCTAGGCTTGGAAGTTCCTAGTCCCAGAGTCTCTGGGATTTCCCCTGTCACTGAGGCAACATGAGTGGGAGAGCTCCATAAAGTGCTTTGAACATTTATTTCTCCCAAAGGACACAATGCAACTCCTTTACAAGGGCAGGGCGGGGAGAGAGTAAAGCTTACATTGTTCCGCTGCCTAGTGCACATGTGGCAGGGGGCTATGGTCCTTACTTGTTTGGCCTCCTTGGGAGTGAGAAGCTGATATAACAATGTATCTGTAATTGAGCTGGGGGCGGGGTGTGTGGAAGGTAGGGGACAGGAGTAGGGGGAAGAGTAACAAGAAGGGGAAAAACTACTTCTGCCCTTTTCCCAATTTTTGCACCTGCATAATGGCAAGGCATAGCCTGATCTTTTATGAGCCCAGTGTTGCTGGCCCAGTTTGAAGAGCTGGAATGAACTATCTTGAAAATAAATAACTAGAATGTGAAGCTATATCTATGCAGTTTTAATCTGAACAGTAGCTAGTCATTTATGGTTATTGCTTTACACATAGGTACTCATTCCAAATGGGAGGGAAATGAACAAAGTACAGCTATTCAAATTCCCCACAAAATATTGGTGTAAAATTATTCCATGCTGTGTTGTAAATGCAAAATTATAAATGAAGAGTAAGTCCCTTTACAAAGACACATCAAAGGCACAGATATACAGCAAAAGGATCTCTCCCACGACTCCTTAAGATCCCAAATATATCCAGAGTCCCTTCATATTTAAACTATGGACAGCATAAAGTAACATTTTTTCATTAGCCATGAAAACATAGTAAAAAACCCAGCTCTGTATAAGAAGTTAGCTTATCTAACTCCCAGGTCTAATTAAATCACCTTTCATATTTCTGAATTAAATGCTGGAAAGTGATCAGTGCAACTTATAGTTAGATGGCTTCAGCAATTTTATTGACAACCAAAAAAACCCATAAAGGCTGATTAGTAGTTGGACACATTGTCATCACAAACAATAATTGGATGCCTGGAATGGGATAATTTTTTATTGATTTAAATTTAAATGGCCAAGTTCATCCCTGGAATAACTCCATCAGTGGAATTATTCCAGGGATGACTATTTCCTGAAATGTTTTGGTTCCAGGTATCCCAGAGAATTTCACACATAATAGCTAAGACTGTAATTCAGTCCTTTGACCTAGCTCTAGAAGATAAATTAAGCTTGGTAATGAAAAAAATAGATTATTGGACTAGGTATGAGTATTGGAGGAAGGATTATTGTGAGACATTGAGCAACTGTAGAAAATCTGAGGACAGAGAAATTATCTAGAAATTACAGTGAAATATGCTCATGTCTTACCTTTCCATTCCAAATGGCCAGCTGGTACATTTAATTTAGAAATGGGATCTCATTTATTAACATTTTGGATAGAAAGGTGTAGATCGTTAAGAATATTTTCAGACTATTTTGTTAGATATAGCTGTTCTTTTTAAAGATGTAAGTTTATTTCTCCACTGGTCAGAAATGGTTTAGGATTATTGAATTGGTAGAGTTATTCATATACTTAGGATCAGGGCCGGACTAAGGGGTGGGTGAGCTGGGCAGCTGCCCAGGGAGCCAACCAATGGGGGGCACCTGATGGCAGCTGTAAGGGGCATTCAGCATCCCTTATAGCTGCCATCAGGTGCCATGTGCCCGGCTCCCACAGCGCCAGCCCCCCCCGGCGCAGCGCCTTTCCCCCAACGGCCATGGGGTCCTGCATAGCCAGGCGCTGCGCACCAGCAGCGGTGGCCGGGCCGAGCTGGGTAGCTCATGCGCTGTGTACACTGGGGGCGGGCCCATACATGCGCCCTGCGCCCAGGGGCGGTGCCGTGTGCCCAGGCCCGGGGCACCAAAATGGCTCGGGCTGACCCTACTTAGGATCCATAGAAATCCAAAGCTTTGGAAACCATAACAAAGTCAGGTTCCAGTTGCAGAATTTGGGGCACAGCACAGATTTAGTTCAAGGCAGAGGGATATTGTCTCTTCTTTTCTTGTGGCAGATCCATTACATGCTGGTGTTGGGGCTTGTTTTCTTCAACATTATCATTAATGATCTGGATGATGGGCTGGATTGCACCCTCAGCAAGTTCACAGATGACAATAAACTTGGGGGAAGGTAGATATGTTGGACGATAGGAATAGGGTCCAGAATTCTGCACTTGGGAAGAAGAGCATGGAAGAACCCCATGCTCTGCTACAGACTGGGGACTGACTAGTTAAGTGACAGTTCTGCAGAAAAGGAGCTGGGGACAACAGTAGATGAGAAGCTGGATATGAGTCGTCAATGTGCCCTTGTTGCCAAGAAGGCTAATGGCATAATGGGCTGCATTAGTGGGAGCATTGCTATCAGATTGAAGGAAGTGAGTATTTCCCTTTATTTGGCACAGATGAGACCACATCTGATGGTTGTGTCCAGTTTTGCTACACTCCTTTTCTCCTCCTCCTCCCCACCACTCCACTAGAAAGGGTGTTGACAAATTGGAAAGAATCCATTGAAAGGCAACATAAATGGTTAGGGGATGCTGGAGCACATGATATATGGGGAGAGGCTGAGGAACTGGGCTCATTTGGTCTTCTGAAGAGAATGAAGAGGGGCTGACAGCAACCTTCAACTACCCGAGAGGGGTGGGTTTCCAAAGAGTATAGAGCCAGGCTATTCTCAGTGATGGAAGATAACAGAACAAGAAGCAAGAGTCTCAAGTTGCAATGGGGGAGGTCTAGAGTGTATATTAGGAAAAAAATATTTCAAAAGGAGTGTGGTAGGATGGGTTGTCTAAGGAGGTGGTGTAATCTTCATCCTTGGAGGCCAGGCTTGACAAAGGTCATCTTAAATGATTTAATTGAGGTTGGTCCTGCTTTGAAGAAGGGTTGGACTACATGAACTCTTAAGGTCTTTTCCAACCCTAATCTTCTATGATTCTATGATTCAGTTACTTGAAAATGCCACATACACTTGAAAATGCCTATTTCACAATATAACTAAAATAAATAAAAAGAGAACAAATAGTAAACAAACTAAATTTTGAAAAACAAACAAAGTGTATTGGAACTCGTATTTTGGAAAGTTTAGATGAGAAATACACAAAGCAGTGCTTAATATGGGCTGGTATTCAGTTCTTCCTAGTAATGTGTTTTGATCCTTTTTGATCACTCTAATAATATACTATGAAGCATTGCTCTGTGGGATGTAGTTAAAGCCTATTTAAGCCAAGGAAACTACTACCACTTTCCTGCAGGGAAATATCAGAACATTTTTATTTTTGCCTCAATCACTCCAGAAAACTTCATAGAGGATAGTCTCTTCCTGTGTTACAGGGCATTTACTACCACAAATATTCATAGAAAAAAAGAGAGAGAACTAAATAGTAAGCATGGTGCTGGAAAATAGCGAAGAAGATAATTCAGTATTAAATGCTTAAGGCTTACTAGAGCTTGAGTAGCAGAAGGCTTATGCAAATTAGCCAGTTAATAGATGTTCTCATCAATAATCTTAGTAGCCAATGCAAGAATAAAATTCCCGCCTCCCTCCCAAAGAAACAACAAAAAAATCAAAATGATTTTTCTGTCACTCAGGTCTCAATTTTGGATATTTTGTGTTCTGATACACATATGCACACGAAGCTTAAATTTAATGAAATGTCATGTGTAAAGGCTCCTAATTTTATTTATTTGTTTTATTTTTGTTTATCTGTTTTAGATTTCTGATACATAAACATCTGTGAGGTTTTTTTCCAAGATAGGAGCAAAGGTTGATACAATCTGGTAAGTGAAATGTTAATTGGAAATAGATTACTAATGAATGAAATTGTAATATGAGTCCCCAGAACATTCACATATTGATTATAGGGAGAGAAGTTTGGTAGCAGAATCTCAGTAAAATAATATAATAAATATACCAGTTTTATTATCTGGTGGGATAAAAATTTAAAATATGAGGAATATAGAACAAATATGACCATGAATCACAAAATATCATGAAAATAAGTACTTTGTTAATGTCTAAATATATAGAATATATTTGTCAATTAGATTTATTCTGTTCTGTACAGGTTCTCATACCATACTCATTACTGTAGCATTTGAGCACCTTCCAGTTGTGCATTAACCTGACTAACATCTGTCATATGCATGTAAAGGGTGATAGGAGTCTGGTTACATCTACATGTTGCCACCTTATGAGTCTTGAATAAATATTGCTGCTGTGGATTTTCTGTGAATGTGCTTATCCCATAGAACGCTTTGAAATCTCAACCCTGAACTTAAGTTTGACAACAATCAGCTGAAGTATTCTAAAAGTTATTTAACCCTGGCTATAGTAGTATTTTAAAATGTGTTAGTTAAAACACGCTAGCTAATGCTATTTTTTAAACATTACCTCTTTTCCTAGACTAGACATGGTCAATGATATTTTTACTCTTTTTGACGCAAACAATTAGGTCCTGTGGGTTGTTTGTGTTAGGAGGAAAAATTGATGTGGAGTCTGGTATTCTGATATAATCCTGTTTATTCACAAGAATGTACAAAATTCTGTTTGAATGAAGGTGGAATCAAATACCAAAAGATAGTCTCTTCACAGTTCCAAGATCCTTTCAGCCATCACTCAGCCCAAAAAGCTATCTCTAGGCTTTTCCCAGGGCCACTCTCACTGTTTCTTTAAGCTGCATTTGGCTTTCTGCTCTTACTATACAAAGTGCAAACTTTTCCAGTCTTAGAGGGTACTATAAAAAGAAGTTGTGAACTGGAGAGAGATAAAAAATGAGCAGTAAGGGCAGATGTTTGGGAGGCACATAGGGAAAAGAGGGGAAATGGGAAGAAATGAGAGCAGAGATTAAATGATGGCAAAATTGCACAGTACAATACATTGAAAATGAAGGAATTTGATGCTTTAACAGGAGAAGGCTAATGAGTGAATAAAAGGATATGGTTTGAGAGGCCAAAGAGGAAGGTTCTTTTGAAAGCCAGTAATTTGGATAGAGTGAGATGTGGAGAGTACAGATTAGAAGTTGTTTTGGGAACCTAGGACAGATGTTGATATTTTATTGCAAGTGGCAGAATTTAGTGAGAGCTTGGCTATAAGAAGGCGAGAGGGGTTGAAAACTGTGCTGAGATTACAAGCATGAGGGGTGGGTAAAATAGAGGAGCTTCTACACAGAAGGGCTTAACTCAAAATAAGCTATGCAAAATGAGCAACATCAATTGCGTAACTTATTTTGAAATAGCTTATTTAGAAATTGGGAGCATCTATACAGCACTTATTTCAAAATAGAACACTCTTCCTCTTACTTCACATACAATGAGGGTCACAGGAGTCGGAGTAAACTCAAAATAACTGCCTGCTGTGTAGAAGCGGATTAAGTTATTTTGAAATAACAGTAGTTAGTTTGAAATAATGTTTCTATGTAGATGTACCTTTAGAGTTGACTGTGGGTATGGACAAAAGAAGAAGTGGAAACAGATAATGAAAGAAAGCTGGTTTGTACTTGGATAAATGCTTCTCTGATATGACTCCTTTGATTTAGATGGAGTTACAGTAGGGATGGATTTGCTGAAAAGGCTTCTTGATTAATTTAATTCAGGCCTAGGCTTCAGGCTGAAAGAGGCTCTTTCTCGCCTTTGTTAATTTACCAAATCTTTTGCTAGGCATATAGTGACAGCATCATTAAGGCTCACTATTCTAATGTTTGATTACAGTAGTATCAGTAACAAGCATATTCCTAATATCTACTACAATAACATAATTTCATCTGCAGCCCATTACCCTTATCTGAACATCAATGTCCACAGCGAATTGGTGTTTTTCTTCCTTCATGTTTTCATAATGTTATGTGTTTCTTGTGCCTTAGGTTAGTTTCTTAGGCAATATATATATACTGTGTGTGTGTGTGTGTGTGTAGATAGATAGATAGATAGATAGATATTACCCTCTCTCTCCTGAAAGATCGTTTTCTCAAGACCTTGTATCACTGGTTGTTTCTTTTTGATCTCTCACTTTAAAATATATTTTAAAAGCCTGATCTGCACATAGTATTTTAAATGGAATAAAGCCATTGTGAGAGATTCTTTGTGTGTGTGTGTGTGTGTGTGTGTACATCCTACAGAGTGACCTATAAGTGCTGTAGATTCTTTTCCTCTTCTAGCCACAAGGACAAAGGATTGTAGCTTCAGATCCACTCAGTCCCCAAAGGTTGCATATCACAGTTCTAGAAGTTTGCCTAAAACATGCAAAGTCAGGCTTCCTCTTCAGTGGATCTTGGTGTAACACACACACCTTCTTGATGTGGTATACTGTCCCATCTGGTGGCACCTTGACCCCACTTGATGAACACATCTCATAATCAATTGCTGAGAGTACTGAGAACTCTTTGCACATGGGAGAAAAAGAAAAAGAGAGTTTGGGCCAAAGTGTAACATCCCAAAATCCCATAGAATAAATCTGGGTTTTTTTCTGGCCCAACCATATCGCAAAATTGTTCAGATCTAATTTTGTGATTTTTCTGCCTTCTGCATTTGCTGTCTCCCATAGCTTTTTGTAATCTCCAAATTTGGTCAATCACAAGTTGTCAAGTCATTCTTTTCAGGGCCTGACTTGATGCTATCTGCCATTCGGATGTGACATTGCCCTTATCTGAACATCCATGTGTAAATATGCAGCTCCTTCCTTTCTGTCAGTTCACTATTCTAACTCACAGCATAATGTTATGTAGAACATACTGCTACCTGGTCTCTCTCAGTCCTGGTCACCAAAGGCCACAAATGTTGTGGAAGTGGTGTGCTAGTTTCAACATGTCATAAAAAGTTTCTTAATGGCTAAAATATCCAACAGCATGACTTTACATCTCACAGATAGCTGTAATGTGCCCCGCAAGCACCAGGTTGCTGTAGTGACAGTGATATAGAAGGAGGAGGGCTATTAAATAATTTACAAAGGCTACTTAATAGTGCACTTGGCTTTTCCATGAAGTTTTCCTGTTCAAGTGCTAAGATGTCCCTACTTAGTTTAATTTATGAGAACTGAAAGCACTGAAGCCAAATCTGGTACTAAGATATATGGCAGTAATCTTACTTCAAAGACCAATGATACCCAACAGTCTAAAAGTCATGTTGACACAATGTCCAAGATTCTTCTGATGGTACTGAATAAACATGGGAATAAATACCGCATTAGGAAATTATTTTAAAAATAAGGTAGCCTAAGAGGGGGTTCAGTTAATAATTTAATATCCATGATATATAAACTTTGCCCAGTATTCCACAGTTGCATAATTCTGCTCAGTGTTTATTATAGTGTGCAGTTGTTAGCTATGACAAAAAACATTCACAATATAAATTTTAAAATATCTTTAAACAATTGAGAAATATGTAGAAGCTATTTCATAAAAAGATGAAGTGATGAAGAGAACACAAACTGACATGGTAATTAAAACCTCAAAAAGAAACTATACCACAGAAGTGTATATAGTCATGTGTCACAACTTACAAGGCATTGCTGAGGGCCTGGAGGGAATAATGCTACTGTTCTTAATCCTAAATTCTATTCTGATGTCCAAGTTTGCTAGTGTAGTTAAAAGCCCTGTGAATTTGTCTGTGTTTAGTGATTGTCAAAGATATGTTATAATGGGTAAATGCCATCCTTCAATGACTTTTTGCACAGCTGATTGGGATGCTTTCTTTACAATTGAGAATGTTCAGGTTTTGAAACTGTGTGTGTGGGGAAAATCTTTATGGAAGATCAACTCCATGAATACTTCATAACAGCAACACACAAATATGAAAGTCTTTATCTGGATATGAAATACAGGATTGCAGTGCCAAAAATATGTCAAGTAATTCTATATTGAAGGCAGAATAGTAGAAGAATGTAGAGTTGAACTTGCAGAAGATGAAATGAGCAGATGTTCTGTCAAAGAATTGATCATTATACAACAGAATTTGACAACACACTCAGTCAAGACATTTCTTCCACAAACTAGTTTTCCCTTAATCTATGGCTAGTGTTTGCTTTTTCACTGACCCTCCTCTTTGGTTTTTTTTTTTTTTTCTTCAAGGACAAAGAAAGGTAAAAATGTTAGGATTAGACTGAATAAACAATGAAACTTGGTTTATTTTTTAATAAAGCAATTGTTTTCAACTTTTAGACAACATGGGTACCATTTACCTGTCAGTACTGGCTGCTATGGCTGAGTAAACCAAAGATGTCATAAATAGAACAGAAACTTTTCTTTCTGAAAAAACAGAAGAAAAATCAAAATGGCTCAATGTGAACTTTATTTTTTAATAAAGTAAGATAAGTGACTTTAAAATGAGCTATAAAAGTTTTTACCTGCTACGATCTGATCTTATGGATTTTTGTATTACAGTATCTACACAATGAGATATAGATACACATGCACCCAATTTCAGAACCTTTTAGAAGTACTGGAAGATCATGAAAAAGGAAATAATGTTCAGTCATCTTGGATTAGTGTACTGTATGTATAGCAAATTTGCTGATGTTGAGGGCATACTGAATACTTTGAAATTCCAATTCACCTTAAAAAATCAGTCTTTTATATTTAATATGATGGGGTAAATCGCCAAGAAAATGCAAACCACAGAAACTTTTTAAATAAATGATTTTATTTGGGTTGGAATCAGATTGCATTTTAAACATTTCCATAATCTGGATCTGTGCTAATTCAAGATTCCGGTTAGATTCTTTATGCAGAGAGATCAGATCCAAACTTCTGCAAAGTTCCTAGGAATAGGTATCTACAGCTAGGATT